TCTGGCGTGAGCCCCCAAGGAGGAAAGCAGGGTGGGGGTGGAGTCCCTAACGCAACCCCCCCCTGTCACTCCCTTTTGCTTTTGAAAACAACCTGTTTAAAGAGGCCGTGAAGAGATGCCTGTTTGGTAGGAGCTCTACACGGGCTCCAGCAGGAAGGGAACCTCCTCCTCCCCCAGCCCGGTTTGTTTTTATTCTTTGAACCCAGAGCGGGAGCCTGGGGAAGGGTCCCCATCCGGGACCTCCTGGGTCACAGCCACAGGCCCTGCCCTCCGGCCGCCAGGAAGTGGCTCGCTGCTGCCATCTGTCACCCCGCAGGCAGGTCCTCTCCCACCTGCACTCGGCGTAGACCTCCCAGGAGAGACAACTAAAAGCCTGCGCCTTATTCCATGAACACAGGTGACACGTGAGAGCTGGCCCTGACCCTTGTTGCACTGATGCCAGGGCAGGGCCAACAGCCCCAGCTGCTCGGATTGGGATTGGTGAGGCCGGGGTCCCGCCCCCCGCGGGGAGGGGGGGCCCAGCGCTCGGATTGGCGAGGCCTGGGGTGCGGCAGTCGGGGGAGGGCCCCAGCGCTCGGATTTCCGAGGCCCGGGGTGTTGCAGTCGGGGGAGGGCCGAGGCCAGGAAGCGCCGGAGTGCAAAGTCCCAAACAACAGGCTGGGCTCGGGGGCGGGGCCAGCAGGCCGCCGCTTTTCCCTGCCCCGCGCAGGCTCCCAGGAGGCTGAGGTCAGAGGCTGCCTGTAGGGTGTCCGACCACAGCTCTGTGCTGACTGAGAGCCCGCAGTCTGTGGGAATAGCACTTGACTCCCGACACCAAGGGCCTTGAGCAGAATGGAGCTGAAATGGGATGGGACAGAGCGCATGACTGTGGACTATGTGAAGGGAATCCTGCAACCCACGCCCACCTGCGACAGCTGGGACCAGATCTGGGACTTCCAGGCCAGGCCCGATGACCTGCTCATCTGCACCTACCCTAAAGCAGGTGGGGCGGGCGGGGAGCAGGGGAGGGGGCGGGAAATGCCTTAATAGTGAAATAAAGAGATGACCGGGTTTCAGAGGAGGCTGCTGGCTGGGCAGAGTGAGGGCCACAGCAAATCGCTGTGGAAACTGAAACTAAAATGACCTACAAGTTTTAAGCGTTTAATTCTTCCAGCCACGCACATTTCGTTTTACTTCCTCAGAAGAGCGTGAATAAAACAGCAAAGAACAAAAGGGCTCTAGACTTGGTGACTGATTCGTTCCCCAGGCAGGCCTTCCTGTGGGCCTGGTACAAAGCCGCTCTGTGTGGGTGAGCAGGAAAGGGACCCAGGCTGATTTGGGGACGGGTAGGGGAGCTGTGGTTCTGCACTGCTGACCCGCTCAGCAGCCCTCAAATCTGCAGGTCAGGAGCGGAGAGCTGTTCTTCCTAAGTGTCCCAGTTATGCCCCAATTAATTAATGATCTGTCTAGGTTTAGTGGGACATATGCAGGTGACCAGGGGTCAGCAATAACGGCCTATCACCTGGTACTTCAAACCTAGACAGTTGAGCCGAACCGGAACACATGAACACACAGACAGAATTAGTATGCAATCACACCTATTCCTAGTGGGTCCTAGGCTCCAGCAAATGCGCCCGGCGATGCGCACCGAAAGACGGACGATGAAGACAGAGACAGACAGGCGGCCGCAGTTGGGTCAGGCTCACACAGCACAGCAGTCAATCAGGGGCTCGTCTCACGGAGTGACGTGGAGTCCGCCTCTCATCAGGCAGGAGACGTCCACAGAAGAAAATCTGGTCTTATACAGCCAGTGGTAAACAACTTGTGTCTTATCAGTGTGGGCCAGACGGTGTGCTAGGAGCAGGGTGTTTACACTTTTAGGGCTTACAGCTTTCACATCAAGATAGTGGGGCGTTCACCGCATTTTGGAAGTTACAGAGTATTGGGGTCTTCGCACAGCAAACATTTCACACATTAATTATCTCCACACGTTAGAGGGGTTTCCTTATGACCGTAACATTATTATAACATTCCACCCGGTGGTCCTGAGGGACATATAGGGAGGGGGACCCCAGGGGGCCAAAAATTAATTTTGTTTATTTTTTATGCAGCGTAGTATTCTAATGAAGAGGGAGAGGAGGTAGATAATGGCTAAGAGAAATAAAATGGTTTCAGCTGTTTGCCAAGCAGAGGTGACAGAGCTCCATCCTTTTTGGATGTAATAGAGGGGGTTAAAAAGATTCCAGTGTGGGGTGCAAGGTACAGTCCTCCAGAGAGAAACGATGGTGGTCCCAAAGTCGCAGTGTTTGTCAAGGTCAGCCAGGTCTGCAGCTGTGTTGAGGGTCATGCTGTTGGGTGTCAGGAGCAGGTCGATGGCTTTTGATGTTGCTCCAAGTTTCTTGATGGTGTCATCAGAGTGTTTCTAGAGTTCTTTTAACTTAGAAATGGTGTTATTAATGGAAACGGGTTGGTGTAATGCTTCAGGGAGATAGAGAATTGGATAGGTACAGAGGGATGAAAATACAGGGAAGTTCTTTCAATAAAGGAGGAATATTGGGTGTCATTAAGGTATGTAATATTCATGTGTGAGAAAGAAGGGTGCAGTTATTAGAAGAATCAAGAGGAAGGTCAGAATTAGAGGTGTGATCATAATGGCAGTGATGGAAGGTTAACTTGGAGTTTATTTCTGAGGGGTGCGCATTGGGGAATGATAGTAGTTACTAGAAAATCTTGTTTTGTAAAGATAATAGTTGTAGCCAAACCGGTTTGGCTCAGTGGATAGAGCGTCGGCCTGCGGACTCAAGGGTCCCAGGTTCGATTCCGGTCAAGGGCATGTACCTTGGTTGCGGGCACATCCCCAGTGGGAGATGTGCAGGAGGCGGCTGATCGATGTTTCTAACTCTCTATCTCTCTTCCTTCCTCTCTGTAAAAAATCAATAAAATATATTAAAAAAAGAAAAGATAATAGTTGTAGAGTGGATTATCAGTCTGTAGATAATTCTGATCGGGTTGTTTGTTTGGGTTATAATTGGTGGTGGTGGAGATGTAGAAGGTTGAGGGTTGGTGATGCCATAAGAGAATAGTGGTTGGTAGTGGTATGTTCTAAGGCATACTGTGCTGTTATAACATCCTCTATGAATAACGCAAGGTTGAAGAGGGTTTTTTGTAAAGCAATCCGCAAAAGAGAGTTGTGTGTAGTAAAAATCCGTGATGGGTAATACAGTGTGGTTTGTAATGGGTGAGTAAGAGTGTAGGTATAATTTGTTACATGCACCATCCATATAATGGAGCATGTATTATTGGTATCCTTGTGATAGGGTTCCTGAAAGTCTGCGTGTGTTTGTTGGATTAATGTTTGCTCCAAAATTATAGAACCATGCAATAGGTTTCAGACCATATGAGATGTTATATGTAAGGTTTACAAGGTGGTCCTGAATATTTAAACATGAATGGTGTCTTAGGTCAGGATTAGAGATGATGGATCTGATTACAGTTTTAGGGTATTGATAAATGTATGTGGTTGTTGGGGTCCAACCCCAGCAGGTCCAGGGGTCCCCAAAGGTGTGGACGGAGTTGGCGAAGAAGGAATGACACGGAAACAGCCTTCAGTTGATCAGCAGCCTAGTCAGGACCTCTAGCCAGGATCTCCAGCCAAAGTTCTGGTTAGGATCTGATCAGAATCTGATGTTTATTGTCTTGTTACATCTGTATTTATACCAGTTGATTTTAATCCTGTCAATTTCTATTGCAAAGGTTAGGGCGTTTCTTATCTCCATTCCAGGGAGTAAAGATTATGTAGCTTAAGCGGGATTGTTTGTAGTTAAAGTGATTAACTACCCGCCTGGCACCTAGTTAAGGGGTTGTATCCCCTCCCTAACCTCAGGGAAAAATCCTCACCTGGGGAAACAACCTTTCTCGGAGAGGTGACCTTGGTTAAAACACATGGCGCTAAGGAGAGCAAACATCTTAAGAACAATATGCTATATATGCCAGGTCCCTTGAAACATATGCTGTGCAGATGTTTCTTTCCTGCAGCGACTGTGTCAAGCAGCAAGGATTGACCGGCTTCCGGCAAATTCCCCCTTTTTTATTTTTAAATGATAGCGCATGTAAATCAGCAGCCACCTCTAGGATTGGGTTGTTTAAGACTTGGAAGAAGACTGGCAAGCAATGACAATAAGCATAGCTATAAACATAGTGGATGGAGCACACAAAGAGCCTTGTTCCTTAGAAGGTTGCCGGCCTCTTCAGTCAAGAGATTTCAGCTGTCCTCAAGTTGTTGGTTTGATTGTCTTTGTTGGTCTGGCTAGCGGGCAGCATCACTGGCAATGGGCTTCCTGAAGCGTCAGCGAGTTGAAGGGCTGCATCAAAGGGTCAATCAGGACCGTGCTTGATGGTGGTGTCGGTGTCTGAGGAGGAGTAAGCTGTGCCCTCTGGGTCAGCTGATATGGAAGATGGAGGGTAGTAGAGAGAAAAAGAAGAGAAAGCAAAAGAACTACAAGGCGTGGAAGTGTTTAGAAAAAAGAGAGAGAAGAAAAGGAAGAAGGCAGCATCCTGACACAGCCCTTTCCTTCATCTGCCCCTTTCCCTGTGGTCCAAGGTAGAAATGGGAAACAAGTCCTGTTGCAGTGAGAGGGCAGCTGCTGTCAGCCATTCTCTGTCTTTACCTGGGTCCCGATCTGAGCTGGGCATGGGAAGCGGGAAGCAGCCATGGGGGCAGAAGACCTCCCTCAGAAGGGGCGAGTGTTCAAGCCCCTGCATAGTTGGGGGGGGTGAGGATCTGTGCCCCATCTCTGTTGACCCCCAAGTTCTCTCCTGCCGGCCCCTCTGCGACTGTGCCTGTCTTAGGTTGTTCCTCCCTGAGGAATCTTATCCGTCTTTGACTAACCAGCCATCCTCCGGGGCCAAGCAGGGTGATGTGAGGTTCAGTTCTGTCTCCTTGGTAGCCTATGCCCCCGTGGCCTCCACGCCCAGCAACTGCCTTGGGATCCCCTCGCCTGCTGGCAGGGCCCCGGCATTGATCACATATCTTGGGGAACCCAGGTTTCTTCTCCAGGGAGGGCCCAGCTCACACCATTGGGTGAGAGACAGATCCATGGTACCAGCCACCATGAGGCTTCAACCTCAGCATGAACAGAGGGCTCAGGCAACAGCTATGGGCAATTGGATTGTAAGAAGAGGGTCCCTCTTGACACGAGGGTAAGAGGGGCCAATACAGGACAAAGGAGAGTCCCAGGACAGGGCTTTCTCAGCCCAGGATGTCAGGCTCTTGGCACAAGACAACTCCATGTATGGGACATATACCCAACACCCCTAGTCACAGCATAAAAGGGAGGTGCCCTTCCTGGAACAGTAGGGTAGGAAGATTCTAGAAAAGGCTGTGTTCAGGAGAGAAGGAGAAAGGCCAAAGAACCAGCAAACAAGTAGTTAGATTTAAAAAAAAAAAAGGAAAAAGGAAAGGAGATGTGGGGCAAAGCTGGGACATGTAGAAAGACAAAAAGGAGGCACATGTGATCCTCCCAATGGACAGATTGTTCCAGCTCAGGGCTGCACATCTGCTGCAGATGGGCACTGGTCAGGTGTGCTAGGGTGAGGTGGAGACAGAGGGTGGTGAGACATAAGGTTGGACTAGACGGTCTGGAATCCACACAGGTGAGTCTGTGTCCTGTGGAAATATTTAAGCCTATCCTCTCCCCCAGGTTAAAAGTACATCAGGTCCCTTCCAGGCTCCTGTAAGAAGTCTCTCCATTTGACGAGGACTTTAGGTTTAGTTAGATCAGGGTTCCAATGCCTGTACATCGGGGAATTTCCCTCAGAATCTACATTTAGTATATTAATTACAAATAGAGTATGTTGTAGAACATGATGAGGAGAGGAATATTTAAACTCATTTTCTTGTAATTTTTTTGTTACAGGAGTAAATCAAACACCGCTGGGGCTATATAACAGAACTCCCATTTGAGACAAGATATCTCTTCCCCATAATGTAAAGGGGATAGTCGT